ACAACCACGCCAGCGGTAGCTGATCGCGATGTGATCAATCTGAGTCCAGGCTTGAGATGCAGAGGGAGGACGCCAGGTGGCACATCGGCGATGACTGTGCCGAAAGTTAGTGCTAGCCAGAAACAGGTTGTGGTCTGTGCAAAGTTGCAGTAGACGGTCCCCGTTATCTGACCTGCGACCAACGAGTCCCCATCGGCCACCTAAACGACTCTCTTCTGTGCCTAGACGCCCGACCTGAGCATTCAAGTCTCCGGCTAGTACTACAATATCTGTCGAACGCACTTTCTGGAGAAGAACTGATAACTGGTGGTAAAACTCATCCTTGATTGCATCCGGGCTGCAATCTGTCGGGGCATAGGCGGAGATGACGAAAAGACATCGTTTCTCACGCCGATTTCTTCTCACTTTGATGGAACTTTCTAATCTAACAGCACATAACCGACTGTTAATGGGGATCCAATCGACTAGTGCTGCCTCAGCTCTAGCGCTTAGTGCGACACCAACGCCAGCAAGACCAGACGAAGATGCCACAGGGTCCCCGGATAAGCGCACGTAAAACAAGCTTTTCGAAGCGACAGATGGAGATCGAATTTGTAGTACTTCGCCAGAGTCTTGAATACGGGTCTCGGATAGACAACACACGTCGATATTAAGACTTTCCAAAGACATAGCCAGCCCTATCTGTTGTCCGACCTGCATAAATGTGCGAACGTTGAAGGCAGCCAGTTTGAATGGTGCACGTGGTTTCAGAAAATCTGCTTCAGTCCTCGTATTCGGTGGTAACATACAATTTTCAACCGGACAGTGACTCGAGAACGTTTAGATACAGTCGGAATTCCACCAAAGACGAGCCGCTGTATAAGTATAAAAGAGGGTGAATAATGTGGAAAATAATAATAATAATGATAATAATAACAATAATGACAATAATAGTAGTAATAATAATATTAGTATTAATAATGACAATAATTGTAATGATAATAATCTGAATCAATTGTTTGTTTTTCAAAGCGACAAAAGTAATTTCCATAGACATAAAGAGTTCATCATTTGTGTGTGGGCTGTGATACTGCCCGGGTGCCCAAACCGAAGCAGGTGGTTATCTTAGGGGGCCACTCCCCGAGCCTTTGACCTAAAGGTCTAACCCACAAGGCAGTGGAGCATCGTAAGGAGATGCAGTCCCATGGTAGCCGGTGACCAACGATTGGTTCATACGCCATTCGTTCCCGCAGGATACTGGAGCCCATGTGCACCATTGATTTGGAATCCGGTTAAAGCGCCGGACATTCGCTTTTCGTCCTCTCATTTTCGTAGACAACACCCCCGCCACGAGAAGGCAATGAGTAGGACTTCCCTGGCAGAGGCTGTATACGCGTGGCCGTGTGAGAGTATTTCGAGAGGGAGAGCGGACTCTCCCCACTCTCGGCCGTACCAGGGCATTCAGGGGGCAATGAATGTTATGCTTACTAGTAATTAACATTGAGTAGAATCCTCAAATTTCAAGACGTGATTGGTGGAATTTCAGATTGTCCATAATATGACACAGACCACCAAGGTTAATAGATGTTGATGATCACGATCAAATTTACCATTCTTGATACTGACATTAAGTCTGCAGTTTTGTAGATTACAATATTTATCAGTTGGATAGAGAGATTAGTTTCCCCACAGATTGATATCAGTTGGATAACAAATGACAGTAAAACTAACACTGAACAGTTATTTCGACCTAGTATAGAAATATGGTAATGATCTTGAGATTGGATTGAAAACGAATTCTAAACACATCTTTAGAACACAAAAGTTATTGACATTTTTAAGACCTATGTTCTATCCTACTTGAGACTCCTCAGTTGAATTTATCCGTATACCACTTATAATATCTACTCTAAAATTAAAACCTAACGCTTCAAACATCAGAGTAATATCTACTTAGCTATCCAGTTTTGGTAGTCCATAAATTTCTATAAAAGTATGATATTTATCACTATTATTTGTAAGAATTTACATTTTTCTAGTGTTGATTTCCGTGAATTATTATGAACAATATTTGTTGGTGTATAAACTCTTGTGGACTGAAACACTCAATATTATCCGTAATTACAAGTTGATTGGTTGGTAATAGTAGGATTAAGAATAAGTCCCTAAATTTGACTAAATACACACCGTAAAAAATTCTTCCCCAATTAATATCCATAGAAATTAAAATCACCATGTAATTCATAAGACACATAGTGAGTTATCTATTAAAATAGTTCGTATTACCAAAAAATTAACCGCCCAATTAAGCCATGAATACTAACAAAAAATAAAAATTATTCACACTAATAATCATGTATTTATTATCACTTAGACCAGATTAAAGCTTTAAAGATTATTTCAGACACACATTTCGGTAACAATGACGTAGAGTAATAACAATAAACACATGACTAACATTATTGAAAATGTGAGGGGCGGGGAATTTGAAAATGGTTACCAAGCCAAATTCACTTTATTTTATCAATAATAACATGTGAACAATGAGAATTGAATTAGTAAGAATAAATAAGTAGAACACCAATTATGGCATCATCGTATTTAATGAAGTTCACACAATTTTCTTATGGGAATAAAGAATGACAAGTGAAACACATAATTATTAATACAATTATGTAGTTAGTAATTTTTTATACCCAGAGTAGTTAATAAATGATCTATATTAAAGTGTAACTGATGTAATAACTTCGTAGTGTGATTTATTGTATATTGATCCATTGAGTGCGTTGATAAAAAATTCCTAACTTTGGTAACTTAAAAATAAATGAAATTTAATAGTGTATAGAAAAGCTAATTTAAAAGATAACGAAAAATTGCGTGAATAGTTACTACACTCATGGTGCAACAAACCGATATCTGAGTTAAACATATGCAGTCATAAAATGAGAATAAAAGGAAAACAATTACAAAGAGTTTGGCTGATAACAAACATTATTATTTATTTGAACACGTAAATATTGGTACAAAAGGCACCGAAAACATATGCACCACACAAGTCTCTTGTGTGTCGGCTGTGATACTGCCCAGGTGCCCAAATCGAAGCAGGTAGTTTTCTTAGGAGGTCACATCCTAAGCCTTTGACCTGAAGGTCTAATCCACAAGGCAGTGCAGCAACTTTAGGAGATTCAGTCCCATGGTATCCAGTGACCAAGAATAGGTTCATACGTCATTTGTTTCCTTAGGATCCTGAAAGTCATTGGGACTATTGGTTTGGAATCAGGGTTCCCCAACTCCCCTAGGTTTATCCTCCGTATCTACCAACCCGATTGTGCTGGAAATTCGCTTTTCATACTCTCAATTTCGTAAGCAGTAATGACGCGAGAAGGCAATGAGTAGGACTTACTTGATAGTGCCTATATACGCGTGGTCATGTGAGAGCATTTCGAGAGAGAGTTAACTCTCCCCATTCTCGGCCGTACCAGGGCATTTGGTGGCAAGGAAAAAGCCAACTAGATCGGATTATCATAATGTGCTAGTTGACTCCAGTTTTTAGAGATGATGATTCAGTTAAGCTAGTGGGGATGACTGGGCAATTATTTGGACAACAGTAACCATAGGCCTACCGATCTCGATTGCTTACTACTTATCTAAATAAGAAACTAATATTTTTGCCTGTCAGACGTAGGGACAAATTGATGAATACTGTTTTCAAACCCTTACGTTCCCCATGAATACGACGTTAAACTGAGGTCCAACAATACCGGACCTCAAGAGATCAGTCAGACTTCAGGTTATGTAGATAATTGCATCAACAGGATCTATAACAAATACTGACACGAATGCACGTCAAACGGCTTTGATTCTCTTTTCCCTGAATAACGATCTTAAATGAGGACTAATAGCAATTCCCTCCATGTCGGATTATCCTGTTCTAATGCACTTCGTTTGAAAGTTTTTTTGCTAACTTTTCCTTTATCCCTAATTTCCCTCTTCCATATAAATCTGGTTTTTAAATCCTTATCTATTTGATTTTATACAATCGTATACTCTCTAATTACTTGTTTGGATTAACTGGCAATTCCTTGGACAGACTACGTAATATAAGATATAGGGACAAAATAGTTTATAGAATATTTATTATTGTATGGTTTTGAATCTAATAGTCTCAAGTTATAATTATTTGAACAATAGTAACTGGTTAGATAATGATCTCGCTACGGTGTGCAGTAATGTGATACTCAGTAAGAGTAATAACAAAGACAGTCTTGGTGCATAATGCACATTATATATAAATATATATCATTTCATGAAATTGATATGTGATATTCAAAGCAATATATGATTGGTCGTTGAGCGTGGACAAACAGACACAGCTTACTAACCATTAAATATGTGGTTTCCTTTCCTGTTATTGATTTTCACTTTGGACTCACTGAGTGTGACTGCTTGTGATTGTATTGAATGAAGTATTATCTAGTGTTAATCTGGTTCTCTATTCTAGGTTGTGAATCCTGGTTCTGATACAACGTGACTAGTCTTATTATCGTATTATATATCAGTGTGATGAAAATATTTTAAACCATCCGTCATATCAAAAACATCGAGTTAACACAGTGGATAAATGAGTATGCTACTTAATATTTATCAAGTAATCTTGAATAATTTTACGTTAAAATTTTGTGGTGTATTAGTAACTATGAAAACAAATCAAACGACAACAACCTATTTTGACTTATCTATTATTAGATACAAGAAAAATGTAAAAAATCTTTAGTCTGATTATATTGCAATAATATAACTAAGACAAGTGACAAATTAGTGATAAAAATTTTCAATAAGATTTCAAAAGAAAAAAGAAAAGCTAATTAAAAGACGATTGCAATTATTTTCCTGTTTTATATTTACATAAATTTCAATCTGGGAAATATTTTGTACACACACATACATACATGAAATCATTGAAGGTATGACTGTACACATAAAATTCTATTGATTTCTTATTGATAAAATGTGTATTTTATTTAACAAGCCAACTTTTGAAGTAGTTCAAAACAATTTGTTCCGGCATAATGAACTATTCGACCAGTAACTAAACTTGCAGAAGGAGAAATTAAATTGTCCATAGAATCTACATAATAGTAAAAAGTAAAATAATAGAATGGATGTAATAAAATGGAATAAATTATACATTCAAACAGATTTAGAATGATAGTTTTTGTAGGATACACTTAATTTACTGTAATTTCCGACTTGGTTTTTTTTTGTAAAAAACAAACTATAAGCAAATCATTATGTAAATAAACTACAAAAGAGAAATAAAAGTTTGATATCATGAAAATTAGTTGAGAATGCTCAGGTGCCAAACTGTGAGAGAGAATGATGCATATTCAAAACTTACGTTCAGCGTCAATTCGCTTAAGACAGCAGTTTTAGCTTGTTGACGATTGCCAGCCGAAATGGAACCTAGATCCAGCGTTTTTTGTAGATTACCTTTAACAATCTAACAAAAATGCTGGTTTTCATCAACAACAAGAATTTATTCATGGGCTATCGTTGAAAATTGTCTTAAATGACACTATTATATATGTAAGATTTCAACTGGAATTGTGATGTGATAAAGTAATAAAAAAGAGATACTATTAGTTTTCTTAAGAGTACTTAAATACTATATTTGTGAGTCAGTATATGCCAACTGACAATTGGCACTTTGAATCAGTTGAATGAATCAGAGAAATTGTATCATACATGCTGTAGATAATGCTGTCTAGGAATAAATAAATTACTGTGTTTACTCACTGATGAGTCTAAAAATTTAGTTTTTTTTTTTAAAAAAATCATCACTCTGTATAACGTAAAATACGGTTTGGCAAAATCTTTAATGATACGAAACTGTGGTAACTCATTTCATATACGTTATAGAAAATATTTCATTTATATGACATTAAAAACGCATATAGAGATAATGATTGGAGTTTTGATGGAAAACACAGATGATACGTAGTTACGTTTCCAGCAATCTTTTTCCAACTTCAACATAGTGACTAACTATAGTAGGAGGTGATATCTTCAGAAATTCCTGTGAAAACTGGTTTTTTATAACATGCCTTTAAAATTGAAATAAGTTAATCAGTTATAAACGACACAGAACCTGATACATATACATCGGTTCGAATGGCCAAACCATATCAGGAAAAACATGCATTTCACTCTTTCAATTCACTTGAATTAAGACATTTTTGCACAGAAAATTGTTAAACAAGCTGGTTCTTGCTTTAATCAGTTACTATTTCAAAATAGGGAAATGTAATCAACGCACTATTGCAATTAGATTGCGAGCATAATGAATTCAAAATCGAAATTCTATAAAATTATGATCAACATTGGTAAGAAAAACTACTATGACAGTTACACAAATATAAATACATACAAATAAAATAGTATAGAACTACCATTTTGTAATGAATTTTTTAAACATTTGCAACAGTCTCGAAGGTCATTTGCTGAAGCAGTGATGGATGTGAACTCATTGAACGTCTATTAAAAGCCTGATAAACGCCAAATTTTGTAAGATAATCACTAATTAGTGATAAATGCCGTGAATTCACATGAATCCCATAATGACCAAAGACTCCAGATACTTCCTAAGGGTAAAATAGTAACAATAACATAGTTATGAGTCTTCACTAGTGTTTAAATTTTCAATTACATGAAACAATTAAATTTGTGCATGTGCTGAAGCTCAATAATTAATCTGTTTGCCGAGTACTATCTGTTTTATTCGGCTTTAAACCATACACATGTTAATTCTATGGTAGTTAATAATATCATCTGGTTATTTAAACGGAAGTAGGTAGAAAGACGGATTCGAACCCGAGGTTTAGTAATTGAAAGACAAATGGTTTGTGATGTGTGGGCGAGTGATAATGATTGGTTATCTGCTTAGTCAGACATTTAGATAGTCTTACAGGTGTCAGATGAATTGTATATTCCCTTATCCTTATTATTATTACTCACTTATTGTTCCGATAATGCAATGAGGAGACGAAGTTTATCAGTTTACATAATTCTGATAAACTTCGTCTTCTCACTGCGTTATCGGAACTTATCAAAGGGACTAATTGTTTTAAATCAGTTATTATTGATTGTTCATTGTTGTTGGGTTGTGTCGGTTTTTGGTGTGGATATATATTTACGTTGTGGTCAAGATAATTACGTGTTCTAGATCTGAGTTGTGTTGAAGTCCTGTAGAATAGACACTGAGAGTGAATCTAGTGTAGATATTCGTCTAAGGTAAATTAACGTCCCATACATGTAAACGTGGAAACCCAACCGTTATAACATTAAACGAAGTAAAACCGAGCGTTATAACAGTTTGGTTTAACAACCAAAAACCATTACTTCAACATTTGAAAAAAGAACACTAGCTGATCTTAAAAAGTGGCCGGGTAACATATCATAAAAAAGATTTCATAACAGATATATAAAAAGTGCACAAATATTTACAATCAGATAAATTAGAACATTACACATTGTTTTTCTTATTGGAAAAGTTAATAAAAATAAAATAATAACAATAGTAATAGTAATGATAATACAACACGTACTCTTTGAAGTGCTGCCCGAGCTGCTTCAATACCGTATGTTTCATTCATTACAGTGATGTTGTTAGTATAGAGTCGACTCAAATCAAACACTTGTGGATAACGCATCATCTCCTGCATATACAATTTGAGAGAGAAAGGTGGAATATGGATAAAAACACGTAACAATTCATTAAGTTACTGATCATATCTTATGTGTGATCACAGAGCCAATTCAATGGAACTTTCCTACATTCTGAAAAGAATTGAATGATATACAATTTTCAAGCACATTTCATAGTTGAATAGCCTTTTGTAATTTTTTTTGGGCAGAAAGATGTTGCTATGATGACAATGTGTGAGACTTGAGCAGAAAACATCAGATACATGTTTCAACATAAAATCAACCAACTTACAGTTCGAAAGATTTGTAGATCCTCTTTAGTATATTCACTGAATATAGCAAGTTTCCTGACAATAATCAACTGATTATTACTGATTTTCAAGAGCACGGTTAAATTAATAACTGAATGGATTCTTTTGTTAAGATCAGCAGTGAAAATGGCTTATTTCCATGAAGAAATTTCACACACGAAGAAGAAAGAACGCCAATCATAATCATTACTGATGTCAGTTTAAAAAGCAAAGCTGCTTAGTTTAAGAAACTAGCTGTAAGAAAGATAGCAGCAACCGGTATAACAGAGCAGAGTAATATTTAGATATTTTCCCAGTTATCATTTTTAGTTTATTTGTTGTTCCAAATTACTTGTAAGCAGTATATGAAGAAGTATTAAAGTGACAGCGTACTGTAAAACAAATTGATGTTAATTTACTTGATGTTTCAAAGTGTATAAGAACGGTACACTAGCCTAACCGGTAACCATAAATGTTTACAAATCTAATAAGAATTTTATGGAACTTACAATCATGTTTATACCTTCAACTCGGAACATCCATTGATTTGGTTTTGAACGATCAATAATGGTCTTTTCGATACCGGATACCGAGGATACAACGCTTCGATTAATAAGGCGCATAATTAAAGTTTCTAGGTCAATAGATATACGTCCTTCGTTTGGATCGAACATCTGGTGATAAATGATAACATTATATATGAATAAGGATGAGTAAAACACAGTCGCAAAAAACAATATTCTATTTCAAATATCAGTTTATGTTTATTTTAAAAACCAACAATGGGCTATATAAGTGACGGATCTAGACTAAGATATGAGAAATAAAGAAAACCACAGGTTTGCATACCGTGTGCTAAAAGTTCTCTTGGTTACTAATGGTAGTAATAATCAGTATTATTATCTCCTGTATTTTCTCTCCATTCAACAAGAACAATGACTATTGAGTGTATTACGATATCTCTCTGTTCAAGTATGACGGTAATAAAAATTTGTCAAATGTCATGTACAATCCTTCATTTACAAAATTCACTGATTTCTCGTAAGTTTTCTCACTATTATGAAACAACAACACCGAAAGCCACGTTAAATTTACTTTCAATAAATAATTGCTAAAAACATTTGCTGATTATAAGTAGCAGATAGGTCACTGAAAACATCTAGTGAATTTCACGTATACGGTATATTTTAGTGAATTATAATTGAACTAGTAATAATTGTTTAACAATGTTTTTATGTATCTGGATTGTTTGAAGTTCATTGTCATTGAGAATGAGTGAAAGCTTAATAGAGAAGACCAGGTTTAATCATTGTATAATCACATAAAGAATGGTGTGTGAGGGTTGTGAATGTTAACGATCAACTTGTCAATAATGAAAATGAACTAATTGGGTGATACTGCAGGTTTGTCGAAAATTTTCAATTTCCAAATTAAATCATGGATTGAGTATAGTTGGGCAATCATTGAAAACACAATTATATGAACGAAGAATATTCTTTTCTATAAGTTCTTATCAGGTTCTAAAGTTATAAATCCAAATTAAGAATCCATAAAATTGGCCAGATTTAAGGCAGAGTACATCATTTAAAATTATAATATGTGAATCAAGAATTGTTGTTTGTCATGTAAAATCAAATTTTCGGACTACTGCGAAGTTCAATAGTAAAACGAAACAGCTTCTCAATGCTTTATGGTTTGAAATATTTATCTATCTGTTGTCTGTGATGTAAACTATACGTTGAGTAGTCTTTAACATCATATAAGGATAATATGAGTTAATAGTTGTACTTTAGAACAAGTGAAAGACTATTGTATTACAGTGATCTAAGCATTTTCCCCACTTACGCAGTAAGCATATTAATTTGAGGAAGAAAAACTATAAGCGATCAGGAAAAATAAATTGTAGATCAAGAGCCTAATAATAGACTAAGAAGAACTTGAGCATATAAATAAATGTTTAAAAAAAGATATCTTAAACTGTAGGCTTTTGCATAAAAACAGAGCAAGACATTATTGTAATAAACAGTACATAAAAAGCTCTTCCATTTAGAAAGAGAAAAAAGGACAAACACATAATTCAATTTTCAAGCAGTAGATAACTTTTTTCAGTGGAAATTCATGAAGACTAAATACGACTGACAACATAAAATGGAAGCGACAATGAAGACGAAAAGTACAAGAAAAACAACAGTAACTTACACAAATTGTAAGACGTGCCCATTTCGGCGATGAATTTTTTCTGTCGAAATCGTAACCACTAAAACGAGCATGCAGGCTGGTAACAAACTGATGATATGAACAGGAGGAAGTAGAAACAACGAGAAAAATATGGTTGTGTAAAATATTAAGAAATTATTAGGATTTATTTTAAGGAAAAATCATATAAACTAGTAACAACACAAACACACAAGTTTCTCAAAATAATACCAGTAAGACAGTGCGAAATTGCTGGGATGGAAGACCAAACAATTTAGCTATACAAATATATAAACATAATAAGTAAAAAGTAGAAATTGATAACGTGATGACAGGTGTACTAGTTGTGATAAGAATAATAAAGGATTGAATTAATGTTTCATAATAAGAGGGTAAATCAATGACTTGGAAAATATAGACATTCATAAAAAATTGTAGGATTACGTAATAAGAAGTGTTCTAATAATGGGACAATGAAGTGTATGTATTTGATAAAGAAAAAAAAGGTGGGAGTGAAGAAAGGGTATGGATAATACTAATAAATAAAATCTTCTACTTATTATGTTTATTTATGTGATCTATCGTACTGTTATCACTGACTCATCAACAGCCTTGATTTATTTAATAATTTCGTATATGCACATAAATATTACTGTATATTAGAGTAAAGCCTGATGAGGATCTAATCGAAAACAATATTGTTCGCTTATATTTGTTATTCTAATTCACAATATGGGCATTTTTAAAATAAAATAAATAAACGACAGCAACTTCTTTATAGATAAAACCACATGCGAAGTTATTCAAAAATCGATAGACAGAAGATGGATAATGATAGACATGATTCACATGAGGAAATCTTAGGAATCTCTACTGTATGTGATTTATATATATATATATATATATATATATGGTAATATAGATTGTAGTAATTTTAATAAATAGATTCACGAGTTGATATAAACTAGATTACCATTGAAAGCCTGGAAGCACTGGACAGTTTTCAATGGTGGTCTAACATGCACAAACCACCATACTGATAATAATCATGTGTTCACTAGTCACTAGCTTCAAAATATGCTTCCCAGAGTTCTAGTGAAAATCCACAACCAGTGGAGTCCGATCCGTCTTGGGTGGAGACAGTTATCCATTTCGGACAATGGATGAAAGGTTGAGCAAGATCATGGGGCGATCGAAATTAAACACTGTTAGATGCTCGTTCAGTGGTCTAGGGACTCGGCGTTTGCGTGCAAGACCGGGATCGGGTCCCGAGTGAGGGATTGTGGATGCGCACTACTGAGGAGTCTCGTACTGGGACGAAACGACAGTTCAGTACTTCCGGGTTTTCAACGATGTTTTAGCCTAGATTGACACATGAATTCAACTATTAAAATCACTACAATGTCCACAAATCCCCATTCTGATAATATAAATTGTAACTCATTGCCCAAGTACAGGTACAACTGCCCAGCTTTGAACCACACTTTACGAGTGAAGACCAATATTACTATCCGGATGGCCAAAGCCGAAATAGGTGAAGCGAGAATCGAATCTATGACCTAGTGCTTGAAAGATAAGCGCCTTTACCATTAGATCACTGCTAAACTGAAGTAACTGATATACATGTTCATCAGTGAGTAGTAAGGACAATAGGTTGGTTAGTAGTAGTGAATGTATACTCAGTAAATCTGATATACAACAAAGTGATGGCTGGATTTTGAAGAAATAATGCATGGAATTGTACTTCATATTAGCTGGCGTGGAAGTACAAGTAATGTTACCAAGAAACATGACCCCATGGAAATCATTTACCTCAGCAAATTGCATTCTTCGAATAATCAACGGTAAGTTTTGATACCTGAATATATTACACTATATTCAATTACCTAACCCCGCCTGGAGCTCCTCTGGTGTTACTGTCGATCCTAAACCTTTATGTACTTAGGGCGGCACCATCGATAAATATTGGTGTGATGTTGATATTAAGGCAAGAGGCGGTAAAGTAACGGTAATATCCCTGTAATCGAATACCTGGAACTTAAAAGGACTGTCATCCAACACCGAAATCAGGACCTTCAACACAAATATTACAGGTTCTATTTTATGGAACTGAAACTTAGAGTGCTATCAGAACTATCATAAAAAAGTATAGGTATTTATAAATAGCTGTTTACATAAGATACTCTAGAGTTATTGGTCAGGGACCACCAACAGTAGATGAGAACAAACAAGTTCCCATCAGAGAAGAATATTAGAAAAAGATGTTGGGGGTGAGTAGGTCTCATTTTACGGAAATCATCGGACTGAATCACAAAGCAAGCCTTATCTTGGAATTCCTAAGATCAGACGAAAAAAACCAGGCCAAAAACACATGGTACATTAACTTGGAGGCAAGCATATAAAAATGAATAGCACTTGACAAGAGCTAGTAAGAACCCAGGGCAAAGCTACTTGGAGATACCTGGTTATTGACCTAGGGGTCCGAGAGCGATAGGAGGCTTAATTTACGTTAGTAACATTCAGATAATTGGATGAAACTGTAACGCTTAATTTGTTCCTAACTATATTGCAGAGTAAGCACCTTTCAAATAGATTAGTATCAAAAAAGATGGGTTGAATTTAAACTTGAAAATAAAAAAGCTATCAACTAAACTAACAAAAATCGTAGATGAGACATAATTAACTACGTTCGCAACATTATGCACTGATCTTAGTGAATTTTAATATATTCCCTTGAACATAAACGAACAAATGGTGACTGTTTTAACTATTTTTTAAAAGAAAAACTTTTAAAAGTCAATTAGTATTAAAATGACTATTCTGAACATTACGTATAGCGGAAAATTTAGTGTTTGATAGGAAGAATTGAATGGTGCATCGAAAGTGAGAATTCATTTGAAAGAATGCAACGTGTTGATGTGTTATTAAGAGCAAATTAAAACCTGGATTGTGAGGTAAACAAATAGTTACGATTCACAACCTCGTACAATCCTGGAACAAGTGACAAAGTAGGAAACAAACAAGACAAAAGAGATCATAAAACAGTCAGTCGAAATAAAATAACTGTAAAAATGTAAAACTATCCAAATAGTTATAAAATACATTTTAAGTAGCAAATGTAAGGAGAACATATCTCTAGAAAGTAGTGACCAATAATAGTTTTTAAATTATTGTAACTTATAATATCAGTGTACTAGTATTGATACAAATACTAATAAAATGAATTACCGTTATCCGTTTGCGAGCTTCATCATGACTTATAGCATTCTCTTGTTCTATATTTCGTTCCATATTTTCTTGGATTAATTCCCGTTCATCATCTACATCTGACTGATTTAATTCAGGATCACCAGTCCATTGGATAAATTCATCAGAATTTGTACCTTTTGAAGTAGTTGTTTATGTTCAGATCTTGAAGGATTGCCAAGAAGCATCTTTAATTTACTTGATGGAGATAATTCATTCCAAGGCCATTTACCATTATCGTCTTGTTGTTCATCGTCACCGTCATCTTTCTCACGATCTTGTCCAATTTCATGTAGTTCGGCTGCTTCAGCATCATATTCATCGTCTAAGTCTAAATCGACCAATTCATCCAGATCAGATCCATTTTTACGACGATTATTATCACCACCAGTAATATCTTCCTCTTCGGCATTTGCTTCGAGACGCCGGCGTCTGATAGCCTGGAAATATAGAGATCAAAAATCATATCTTAAAAATAGACTTTTATTTCGAGGTAAGAGACCGAGATGGAGGGAGAGACAATAACTATTATAGTTGATGACAAATTGATTCATGATTATTTTTAGAAATTTGAAAATGTTCACGGTCATGAGTATCTGCTAAGTCGTTACAACAATTTCTATTATTCACTACTGTATTGGGCAAAAAATAAAAGTAACGAAGAAGTCTCATTTATGAGTACGAGGTTAGATAAGGGTAATAATTTGAATTCAGTTAACTCACTAGTCAGCTATCGATCGGAGTAAATGGCTTCAAGTGTAGGATAGTGAAAATACCCAGTTGTTTAAACCGAGGTTAGGTGGAGCGGGAATCAAACCTAAGATCCAATGGCTAAAGTCTGAACGCCTTAGCCACTGGGACACCACTGCACTAGGCGTAACATTAGGATTTGAAAATCTAATTCAATCGTATCAAGTGGAGCAATAGAGATTAATATATCAGTGCCTATAAATAAGACACCACATACTGTGTGATGTTATAACAAGTACTACTCAGTCATTTAAGAGATATAATTCATTAGGAAAATATTTTAAAGCAACCACTGGCTAACCGTAAATTTTAAAATAACTTACCTAAAAATATGGTAAATAAGCCACAAAATATATGAGAATATAAGTAGACTTTTTAATTAGTAGTAAAATTTTGATTTAGGTTATTTCAGAATGAATAGAAAACAAAAAAAAACCCACTTTTTATTGAACCATATTTCCCAATAGTAACTTCAATTACTATCGTTTGCTTGTATAACTAAATATAAACTGTTTTTTTAAAAAAAACTCAGCACTTGACTGTTGATATAATTTTAAAGAAAAACTTTTTTTCTGAAAAACCATGGTTTATACACAAAAACGATTTGGAGAATGTTTTATTTGACTTTTGAAATATGTTGGCAGTGTAACATAAAGCTACTTATAATGTAAAACACATTTAACCGTGACTCAAACAAATAATACGAAGTGGTGAAGAGTTTCTAGGATAATTGAAAAGGAGGTGGAAGATTGTTGGATATGAACATAAAAGGGTAACTGGATAGGTATAGAGGTCGGGTTTGACAACGACATAAATGAACATCATATTCAAATTTCAATGGCAAAAATTCTTACTAGTAGGTCATTTAATGTATTATTTTAGTATAAGGTGATCAAATCATAGGCGACGTAAAATTTGGCACACGTGTGCATCAGTTTAATTTTTCACACCAAATAACCACGATCAGATGAAATTGTTAAGACAAATGACAAAGAAATAAGAGTAGTAACAATATCAGTAGAGTAGATTACACATAGACAGTATAATTAGATAAGGATGAGTGGATTCCCATATGAAAAGAGTAAAGTTGCTAAAAGTTTCGAAGTATTTCTTAAAAAAAGGGCATAGAAAACGGTTGTATACACTACGAAATCAGCGTTGAATAGAAGCTTTCAGAAACATACAGAAAGTGAAGTCACGTGCAGCATCTCTGATTGGATATTAACCAATACTACTAGTATATTTAGTACGATTCCAGAAAATCCCGGAAAAATCATGGTCGTAGGTAACTAAAAATAACCATGAAGAAAAACGTTCTTTTCGTATTTCAAGCTTTTGCTTTTGTGTTGCCATTTAGATTAAACCCAGGGGTTATCAGACGCGGTTAAGAAGCTAGATTGCGAGTTCACTTAGCATACTTATCAAAGATAATTTATAAAAAAAACAAGATGCAAGGGAGGACAAAGAGTGTATGTATCTATGGTACTCCAATTGATTCAGAGCTATGTCAATCAACGTATCCAGCATTTGGATACGATAATCCTACAGAATCATGATCTAAGATTACTTTCACCAACAAGTTGTTCATTTTACAGCTTACTATTCATCTCTTTCACTTAATGTCAGTTATTCCTATTTATAAATTTCGTTTTCTTTATTATTTATACACGAACACACTTTTCACAGGATTTAAGCATAAGTTATGATGGAACAGTGAGAGATTCAGGATCTAATATAATTCAATGAGATAACACTTCCGTCCTCTGACTTTTCAGGGGTTGATCTTCTACCAGGAGATTCACTTGTTTACTTAGAATATGGAGATGATATGGTTGTGTTTGAAGTTATTTATTTATTTAAACACATAAAAATTTGGTACAAGGGGGCACCGAATACAAATGAGTCACGCAAAACAATCGATTTTTATGAGGGCTGGGTTACTGTCCAGGTGCCCAAATCAAAGCAGGTAGTTTTCTTAGGAGGTCACATCCTAAGCCTTTGACCTGAAGGTCTAATCCACAAGGCAGTGCAGCAACTTTAGGAGATTCAGTCCCATGGTATCCGGTGACCAAGAATAGGTTCATACGTCATTTTTTTCCTTAGGATCCTGAAAGTCATTGGGACTATTGGTTTGAAATCAGGGTTTCCCAACTCCCCTAGGTCGATCATGCGTATCCATCAACCCGATTAAGGCGCTGGAAATTCGCTTTTCGTCCCCTCAATTTCTTAGACAACCCCACTTATAGAAGGTTGTGAGTAGGACACATCTTACGTATGTCCAACCACCTCCTACCTCGACAAGCGATGCTGTTTAGTGTAGGAGTAGGCTGGGAGAATATCAGAATTTGCCAAACCGAAACCTGGCATCATTCCATGAAGTTGTTATATCCGAGCGAAGATTAAATCACGAGTAACTTCTGAGACATATTAATTGACTAATATTATCTATATATTCTTATGGTATAACTATTCAACAATTAGATTATGTATATTTATATTCCTCTTATTATAAGCTTTATTTTGACCTATAATTTATTATTGTACGATTTACGGTTCTTAAGCTATGTTCAGTTTATTGACTACTGCCTCCCACGTTCACAGCCACTTTTTGGCTTTATTGTGTACAAACGTTATTTTCTATTTTATGATACGTTGTGGTCTGTCTGGTTGATATATAGACCGAGTATGTTTGAAATAAATGATTTGGTTCGATTCATATTGCAGAGGCTGATATTGTGTTCTGGACTCAAGCGGACAGGCTAGGCGAACATAGGACCAATAAGGACGCTAGGCTGCTCATACCGGTCGGACGTCATTGGTTTGGCATAGTGCTAAGGTTTGTATAATTCATATTTCGATTGGTGGATAGATCACGTGATAAAAAGCCGGACATAAAATCATAACAGAGGTCATCACCAATTGGACTGGCCTATGTTAGTAAGTGTAGGCTACTTGGTTGGGGAAGGAGTGATTACTCTAACCAGTGAATAGACTTAGAATAGCATGACTCAAAATCATTTGCAATGGTGAAGATGCATCCTGTTGGGGAGATCCAGAAAACTCCACGAAAGAAAGCCAAGAAGGCTCTGGAAAAGCTAAGAAACATCTTGTCCAATCAGCATTCAACAGAAGTCTTGCCACAAACATATAGAAAGTGACAAGTCACATGTCGAGCTTCTGATTGGATGATTACGTATACTGCTGCTATATTTAGTAGCCTTCCAGATATTTCTACAAACCTAAGACCATCCAAAACACTATAAATAACCTAGATTTTCTGGATATAAACGAGCCTTTGGACTAAAGCGTTTCTCTCATATTTCGCGCCTTTTCTATCGTGATTCAAGTCGCTGTGTAGATTTAGCCTGGGGGAACTAAATCTAGCGATCAATTAGAAGACTTATCACATCCATTCTTTGTCTCTCCTGGATTCTATGCTTCTGAATCCCGCATAATTTTTTTTATTTCACCAATTCATATTTCCATGAATCGTATCTTCGACGTCGGCACGTAACATTTCTGACCAAGATTTGAATAGGGGAATTCTAACCACATCAAAATGAAAGATTTAGATGTCCAATTAACTAGTCATATAGACAACAAAGTTCAAATCCTAACAATGAAACTAGGCATACTGAAGTTTCCGTAAATACAAACCTACTTCATGTCCATCATCTTCATTCCATTCGTCTTGTGCACGAGTACGACCAATACTTGGTTGATTCACAATATCAGCATCCTCAGCTGGTTCTTCTGAGTTTTTATTTTGACCAGCTTGTTGTTGACGAGCCATAGCAGATAAGGCAAAGCTTTTTATAAGACTGAAATAAATTAACAAAAGGTATAAAATTCACATTCGGACAGTATCAAAACGGAAGAACTAATGAACAGACACATATAGAACAACAATAATGGTGCCTGGGTTAAATATATGCTTTGTTCGATCAGCACCAAATAGAAACCTCTCGGAAACTATCAGAAGATCAACAGATTATATGTCGCTCTCGGATTATATGACTATCTAATTTGTTACTAAATTTAGCATAAATCCAAGGGCTTCTAGAATGTCATGGTTACATGTAAACTTAGAAACATTCTTATTTTATGTGCATATACTAACCTTGAAGTAAAGCTTGTCCTCACTTTACACATTTTGTCTGTCGTCTAAGTTTGGGGTTTAGAAGAACCCTGCGGGTCTAGGAAGCAGTTAAGAAGTTATTATTAACTATTCGAGTGGAAAAATTATCACTAAAAAAAGGTGGTTAAATCATACACTTTTTATGAGTGGCTAACAACAACAGTTATGGTAAAAGATATTATTATGTATGCGTATTATGATCTATTAAACGTTTGTCTTTATAGGTATCGTCACCAAGGTTTGACTTGATAATTTCGAATAAATTGAGCATTGGGTAGATTGGTATAAATAAATAATATATTTGTAATATCCCAATGAGTAGAAAAATTAGATAAGTTTATTCTCTGAGGAAGTGGCTTACACTGAGTCACGAAACGTCAGAAAATCTAATTTTTCTACTCATTAGGATATTACAAATATATTGTTAGTCTTCATAGTTTAAACGAATAATCCCAATCAAAAGTAACAACCAAAATCGACTTAGTTTGCACAGAAATATTATTCAGGTTTCGTTTGTTTAGTTGGATTTGATCCCGTTTGTTGTAAAATCATAGTTTCCTAGTAGGTGAACAAGATTGTTTTGTTTACAAAGGTTGGAGTTCTATAATCAAAAGTGCCGTAACGACTCGTTATTAGTGTACTATTCAATACTTCTACTTCGTTGATGAGATTATTGTTGGTACTGTAAATTGTTCGTTGAATAAATAAAATAATAAATAATAGTAGTCCTGACTATTGTTTATTATACACTAAGCAAAATTATAAAGAATTCTAAAATCCTATACACTTGGTTCAAATACAAACACTGTCTGGCTAATTTGACACCCCATATTCATTAAAAGTGATCGACGGGTGTTCTCCGTGAAGAATCATCCATTTTCGATTTTAATATAAGAGTATAAATATAAAAAGACTTTCATAATTTTAAAGCTATCGAAAAAGGTAAACAAATATAACTAGCAAAGATTAAAAATACTGATACATTAGGTAATTCATTTATGTTTCTACATTTCAAGAATGTCACATTGAGAGGAATTCCAAAAGAATAAGACAAGCTAGCAACTGAAATATAAATAAGTTGAATAGTGAATAGGAAATAAACAAAATGACAATGTACTTGATATGTACACGAAAATAAAAAGCTGAATATTTCAAAAGCTGTATAACTGATTTTCAGCTATACTGTCCGTCGTCATATGTCGATATTAATGTTCAAGAATAGTTGAAATAAAAAAACTAAGGCTATAAAAGGAGGAAAAATGTATTTGTAAAATCTTAGCGAAAGGATTTAAAGTAAATCCAGCGTTTCGCCTGGCAATCTGGTCCAAGCTTTTTCAAGAAAACGAAGGCTGTTTGGAAAACCTAAATCCGCATTCAAGGATAGTAAATACTGTTATTATGATCCCAATTAAAGATATCTTATATCTCATATCAAAATATACATATGTAGCTCATTTAGAGAAAACATAACATGTTAATTTATGTCTCAAGTATAATAAAATCTATTATCATTGAATAAAACAAACAATTTCATAATCTGATTTATTTGGTTACATGCTGTTAAACACAGACACAATTAACCAAACACTGAGTATTGAATAATCAGAAAATGTAAGTTATCTAAGTGTGAATAATAGAAATTTATCTGATTCGTCATAACGATCCAATTATTATGATACATATTTATCCAATAACAAGTGTATTTTAAAAAAAATAAAGGTAAAGACAACCAAAAGATAACCAATAAAGAGATTTGCTTTTTAGAAATATGACGAAGCTTCAATTAAAAATTCATTGAAGTACTCCACACACACACACACACACACACGTACATAATGAATAAACGTATATTTGCAGGACATAATTAATTATCTTGAAAGTAGCAAATGGAGTAAAATCTGGTTTGAATTATTCACAACTAAATAAAAACAATAGGGTAGTTACGTTTTTATCCACTTTTTGCATAACTGTAGAGATGTTAAATTATATTTTGTGTATAATTAAACGATAAATAAGCTATTTATGAGAAAGTTAATCAGAGCCAACGTCTATTTTATATACGTTGTTACAATTTAAAACGATTCTGTACCATCTGTCAACAATAAAGGTTAATTTCGCTGGAATCAACCTGTTATAATGATATACAACCCTACTTTCAAGTCTATGCAAAAAATATGTAAATTTAAACAAACTATTACTTAGGTTTTCATTTTTTTAGTGTTTAAAATAATAATCATAGGCGAAAAAGAAAGAGTTTTTCCTTAGTGAACAAGTAAAAAAATTGGTAAAATATATCAAAAAGTAAATAACAATTAAATATTGAAGAAAAAAATAATAATTCCTACATACCTAGTTTTTCCTTGATCTTTTAATTCTTCATTTAAACGATGAGCTAAATCTGGGAATAGAATACGTTCAAGAAAACGTAAAACACGAACAGGTGTTACATGACTTTGATCAGAATAGACTGATTTCGGTTGTAAATTAAATTCAAATGTACACGAATCGGATACATAGTTAACTTTTTGACCAATAGGTAATTTTAAAGTCTGCAATATAAACATACATGTATATAGGGCAGTTATTTGTGTTATTATATATATATAAACAAATATTACATTGAGAAAATAAAATAAAAAACTGTTTGAATCACCTCAGATAATTTCAGTTTATAAAATTTCTTAGCTATTTGTTCGCTAAGTTGTTGAGCTTCTTTGGTAGGCCATATAGGAACTTCCATGCATGGTGTACTTATATTGGATGATCCGGACATGAGGATCTCTCGTAAGCGTGGTATTCCCAGAGTTACATTCATTTCACCACGTCCAGCAAAATGAAAAGTATTCAATGTCATCTGAGTAGAAGGTTCACCAACTGATTGTGCAGCCAATAAACCTACAGGATCACCAGGTGGTGCTTGAGCGTTAATAATTTTGGCTAAACATAAATCTCTTAATTCAGCCGCTGTAGCACATGGTGGTTCAGGGATTATTTCATTCATTATCTTATCTTTTCCGGATGCTTTCTCTTCTGTTTCCATTATTTTTAATGCTTTATGAGCCATCTTACTACTGTTGACAAGCTTGACAAGTTTATGCTTTGATACAGTTTTATGTAGAATCTAAAATGTCAAACAAGTTGAAATTAAAAAATTAGATTCCATTGAAAAATCCACGTAGAGCAATTATTGATATTAAACTAGATTATAAACAAAACAACACGAAATCTAATGCACATACACATGAATTATCAAGAAAAGTTTGAATGATCTAGAAGTGAAAATTAAAGTCAAGATGACCTTTTACAAATAAATTAACCTCATATCATAAATAACATAACTTAATATGGTGATACACAGTTTTGAAGGCTAGCATTAAAATATGGAAATAAATTAATCAATGTAATATAATTACAAAAACAAACTGGAACAACCTTAAAACAAACACGAGTCATTGGTTATTTCTCAATTTGTACAGTCATAAAAAAGGATATTCATTGTTTCTAGTGCTGAATCAACATAAAGTACACAGTATGGATCAACAATAACGTTAAAAGCGATCTGTTTTACTGCTCATTAAAGATTGAGTATACTTTTTTCTCATTGATATCTATTAGGAACAAGAACTGAGAAGTGAATAAAACACTAAAATTACAATTTTCTATTGTATATTACATTAGATTAGAATGGGTGCAAAACTCCTTTCACAGTAGATGTTACACATTTACAAAATATTCATACTGTATTATTGTTTTGAGAACTTTAGCATCGGTATTTAATGGTTCTCTACTAATCGTATTATAAAAATATCGATATACTATTGTTGTTATGATCTTTAAGTTATTCTAAGTTTAAATAATTTGCCTACACAATTCTATAGAATAGATTTTATAATTTAATGAACAAACATTTAAGAATTTGATGGTTAAATTAATGGATACAATATTGATTGATTGGTTGATAATAGACGATGATGCAATCCGGATAAGCGATAGCAGTTCATTAGACCGAATTATTGGTGTAAGGCCTCCAATTAAACTGATATAAGACCAAACTAATGGCCAAAATATGATTTTATTTTAACAAAATAACATGTTTACATAGTTGCTAATAAGAAAATAAACATGATTAAATAGTACAAACGGCTGGATGATAAAAATTGTCCAGACCATTCAATTTCCAATGAGCTGAGATCTTGTCCTTCATATCAGAAACAGAAATCTTTTTCATTATACAAGTGAACTCAAAAAGCAGTTATATTGACAACTCTTATATGGTAATGAAAAACAAGTCATTCACTTTGTCTATGAAATGATACATACCTATATTTCCTAACTATGTATTTGTTATTTTGTTTAGCTACTATAATCCAAGCGTTAATAATAGAATAGATGATCACAGATGGATCCACACAAACGTCGACAATACACTTAATAATTTACGTACAAACTTATACTAAAAACACCATTAAAAACTATGTACCGTGAGTAAAATAAGACAATATCAAATAAATAAGTCTTCTATAAGAGAGAATTGAGTATGTTTCATTATCATCCGAATAATAATTGATGTCATAAGTCAGAACAATCAAAGTATTATGTTATCGACCTTTGAAAGTTGAATGAACAAATTTACAAAAAACAATTCATAACAATACTATTGAATTATACTTTAAACTTACACATTGTCTCTTAACACCAACTTGGTCTGCCATTATTTGTATAGGTTTAGGAAGTGTGTTTTTTTCAAACAAATGAGCATATGCTGGATTATCAGTATTGATTTTATCAGAATGCCAACGCATTTTCATTAGATTTACGTTATCAGCAAAGAAATGTAAACCAATAGGTTGTAAAAATCCGGCTTGACATACATCCACTCCATCGTCTCCATATCGAAATTGAATTATATTAGATCCTGAATCTCTCACTGTTCCATCATAACTTATGCTTAAATCCTGTGAAAAGTGTGTTCGTGTATAAATAATAAAGAAAACGAGATTTATAAATATGAATAACCGACATTAAGTGAAAGAGATGAATAGTAAGCTGTAAAATGAACAACTTGTTGGTGAAAGTAATCTTAGATCATGATTCTGTAGGATTATCGTATCCAAATGCTGGATACGTTGATTGACATAGCTCTGAATCAATTGGAATACCATAGATATATGCGATATTTGCCTTTCATTAGATTTCGTGCTTTTTTATTATGGGAGCCCATTAATCCTCATCGAATTAGATTTTCTATGTGTAATCTTTTCTACTACCACCAGCATTGTTACTACTTTTACTTCCTTGTCATTTATCTTTACAATTTCATCTTATAGTGGTGAATTAATAACCACCAGTAGCCCCTCTAGGGTTTCTGACGGTCCCGACCTGGGTAAAGGAGGAAGGTGGTCAGTAATCTCGTCCCGTAGAAAACGACTATGGCCATCCTGACGGGAGACCTAAACGTCAAGGTCGAAATGGACAACAATGGGTGTGAAGATATCATGAGACGACATGACTGACTGGGAGAAAGAAACGAGAATGGTGACAGATTCGCAAATTTATATACATTCAACAAAATGGTTGTAGGTGGCACAATATTCCCCCATTAACGCATACATGAAGCGACATGGGTCCCAGTGGATCACACTACAGAGAACCAGATAGATTATATTTACATCAGTAAAAAAATTCAGGTCAATAGAAGACGTGAGAACCGGGACAGCAACTGACATAGCTTCAGATCACAACCTGGTGGTTTCCAAGATGAGACTAAAACTAAAGAAGCACTGGACAATTGGAGGAACTGTTATATCCTTTGGCTCGTCAACTATCACGTGGCAAAATCGCCCATCAGAATACCTACTTCTATAACCTTGTCCCTGTGCTAAACCAACGATGCGTCAACCAGAACTAGTAGTCTTGAATCAACTCTGATTCCTTATTTTTTCTCTGTATAGTGACTTTTCACCTAAATATCACGAAAAAGAAGCTAAATTTGAGGAACTGTTAGCTATTAATCACTACTGGATAATAGGAACTAGCACACAGAATTTTACAGATTGTGTAAGACTACCTTAAATAAGCAATGATGAGTTATTGTATTCCATATAGAAAACTAACCTCTAGATGTTTAATAGCTGACCTCTGTAAGTAACCTGATCGACTAGTTTTTACAGCTGTATCAACAAGACCATCTCTACCTGCCATCGAGTGGAAAAACAACTCTTGTGCAGGTAGTGAAGTGAGAAATCGAGCAGTACACATACCACCAGCACGTGGACGAACATCGTAAGGTGGAAATGAAGGTAGTGTTTTGCCACTTAGCATGAGTGGGACACGACGACCTTCTAATTCAATCTGACCAAGAGCGACAGACATCTGTTGAGCATTAACCTTTGAAATAAATGGATAAAATTAAAGATAAACTTTTAAGAACACAATGAAGATGGGAAAAAAACTATTTAAAGTGGTCTGGCATAGTAAAACATAAGGAAGGAAGCGTACAAATAACAAAAGTATTCAAACAGATATCGATTATCAATATCTGAACAGCAAAATTAGAAATTAATTTAGTCATAGAATCAACTCGAAGCATAAACAAAATTTGCTGTACAAAAGTTAAGTTTCAACAGTCGTTCATTAATATTAACTATACTTTTAGCAAAAGAAAGTTGTAGCACCTAGGTACCAGAATATTATCAACAAAATTTTCAGAATATTATGGAGTATCATCAGAAAATTTTCAAAATTCCACCAAACTTTAGTCATTTAACACTACTACTATCTGAAGCGGCTCGTGAAGATTTTAGAAATTTCACAGATTGAAATCGTGAGTCATTTGAAGCTAGACCACCATGGAAAACCTGGAAGCACTGGACGGTCGTTTCGTCCTAGTACAGGACGCCTCAGCAACGCGCATCCACCATCCCGCACCCCGCGGTTAAGTGCTCGCGCGCAAAACCGGTAGGTCCTGGGTTCGAACCCCGCGGGTGCGGGATCATGGATGCGCGCTGCTGAGGAGTCCCATACTAGGACAAAACGGCCGTCCAGTGCTTCCAGGTTTTCCATGGTGGTCTAGCTTCAACTTACTCATGATTTCAATCTGTGAAACTACTACTATCTATTTAAAAGTAGCCTGAGCATTGTTTGTAAATTTTACTCAACTGTTATCATCGAAAGTAACTTGCGAACATTGACATTTGTAAATGTTTTGAGATATCCTTAGCCCGATATTTGTACTTTCTGTATAAAAACTCCTATATACTTGTTGATTGTCTTTTTTTAACGAGTATAAAATCCACGAAGACAATTTAATCACTGTTTCTAGCTTTATTTTACAACGAACTGGGTATTTATGGCATGTAATAAAAATTTAAACTCTTGCTTACCATACCACCTTTAGCACCAACATGAACCATGAGTTGTAAATTATTCTCTGGAAAACCGACATATAAGCCTCCTGGGATCGCAGAGTCACATACTGCGTCTTGCGCCCTTTTTAGTCGATCTTTAATTGCCATGTCCAACTGAGCAAGACGCTTTTGAGAAGACTGGTCAGTAGATGAAGGGAATTGTGCGTGACGATACAAACGTTTCACATTATGTTCGGTTAGTTCGTCTGGTTTTAAACTGAATGTGTCTGCAAAAGCACAGAGGCCAAGATCTTTAAGATTACTGAAACGACGTTGTCTTTCTTCATCTGCTCTATGTGAAAGTAAAATATCTTTCAAACCCATTGTGAAGGCAATGAATTTTAAAAACCTATTGGCTAGTAAACTAATCCCATTTAATAAACATGAAGCAGATTCAGGACCATATGCTTCATATACACAATGTATCAAACCTGTACTGCTTGAACCGATATGTGATTTGTCTAACATGCCAGATGCAAGATAACCATCACATATAACTAAATCTACATCGGATAATGGTGTTGGTTCACCGGGAGCAACTCCAGACCAAAGTTCAGCTTTAGTTCGTCGACCTAAAAGGGTAGCATTTAGTGGTAATAAACCTGAAGGTGTGAGATTTATTAACAATGTTGAAATAACCTGAAAAAGAGAAAAAATATAAATACTAGATAAAATCATCTGAACGTATTGGTAGCGTTTTTATCTTATCAAGCGTGACGAGATCACCCACTTGGTTCTAAGTTATTTAATACTACATAATCACTGAGTGATGTCAGTGAGTCGGCTATCATTTCTTACTAAATGAAACAACATATTGATACCATCTCAAAGCATATACTGACCAAGTCGATCTCACCTTTGTTATTATTAGACGAGCAGATATGCTTGTTCAGTTATATTTGATGCCCGTGACATATTGAAAGCGACCAAAAAAATAATTCAATATACCAAATAACTAAGATACACATTTGCTTCTTCTTGCAGTGAAGACTTATTGGCGCAAAAAAGATTAAATCCAAATTTCCAAGAATAACAGTTAAGTGATTTTTTTTTATAGATTTAACATCTTCAATAACATGACGGAATTGCACAGATAGCTAATATTTATCAGAGGCGTTAGAGAAGTTTCTAGAATTCGAAAGTGAATAATATCATCCAGAGATAATAATATATTAAACCTCTACAAAATAAAGGTCACTCAATTTTTCATATAATTATTAACAAAATTGAATATATTACTGTAGACAATAAGGGTGTACTTATCCTAAATTAGTAATCTGATGAATCATTGTTTAGTTATTTGTCAGTTATCAAGTTAACAATAATTGTACACCAGCTCCGTCAAAATGAGACTAATCAAGTAATATTGAAACCTTTGTAAAGCTGACAAGTAAATTTGTAAATGGTAACATGAATGGTTTAAATGATGATGAAATAGGAGGGGAAAATCAATACAAAAAACGTGCTAAAAGCATTATATAGATCAAAGTACCTGTTTTCCAGTCCAGAGACATTTCGGCCAACATATTGCAGGTTTAATTGTTATAATAGATGGTGGGCCCGAAGATGTTTGTCTGTTTATAGCAAATAAAGGTCGAAGAGCATGATATACAAGATCCAAATAATCAGCATGCTCGAAAAACCGATCACGCATTGTTAATTTAACTGCTGCTATAACATGATCCTGTATAAGCCCAGCAAGTGGTGTTCCATCTTTAGGTACTAAATATTGATGTGGAACAGAAGCTAAACACAAATTCAATAAAAAATGATAACACAAAACAAATATCAGTAGGAAATGCTTTCTGAAAAGATATAACACGATAAAAAGTTATTACAGATTATGGAAGAAACAAGTTTTGGCAGTGGACACGGATAATGAGTGAATTTCTTTTAAAATTTGGAGATAGTTGTCAATAATAAATGATGTGAAGAAGTTCATTGACACTAGTATACCAGTTCATGAATGAAGATTCAATCAAAAAATTGGTTCGCACCTTTTCGAGTCTAAATTGAAACATAACTGACGACTTTCGAAAAAAAAGAAACATACGAAACTAGTGTTTCTGAATGTAAGGAAGCGATAGTCTATTTAGTGAAATAATTTAAACTAAACTAATGTATAATAAAAGACTATTGTATTACGAGATCTAAGTAGATAACTTATATCATACCAGGGATCAATAAATACATTCTCATAAATCAAAAACCATTAAATTAGAACTAATACCGTAAGCAAGTTACACTGATCAAATGTGGTATATACACGATTACCAGTTTTCTTGAAATTGATCAGTCTTTATTGGCATAAGTAAATCCTGAAGGGATTACCTTAATACTGTATTTTAAACACAAGTCTTAATAAAGTTGGGCTGTGGCTATTATTGAAATCCAGGATGCGCGTTCGTTCTATTCGTAACTTAACAACCGAATGTACCAAGATCCTAATGTTGAGTCCGGGTGTGAACATCAACACTGGTTGCAAGCACATCCAACTGACGAACCGCGGGTCCTGGATGACACTGCTAGCCACAATCCAAATTTACTAAAACTTGATAGTATTGCATATCAGATCAGAACAAAGTTAAGTGATTAGTTTACCTAATGTTTCAAGTTCAGCTTTTGCTGCATAACTTTGAACAAAATGACCATTCATTTCGTCCCCATCGAAATCTGCATTGTAAGCTTTACAATTTGAATAGTGTAATCGGAGAGTTTTTGCTCCAGCACACTTTATTATTCGAACACGATGTGCTTGCATTGAAGGCCGATGAAGGGTTGGTTGTCTGTTCATAATAAGCATATCACCATCAAGTAGATGACGATTAACCTGGAAAGAATTGAAGTAAAATTGAGAAAATGTAATGCAAAATGTATTGTATACTATTGGATAGAAACAGTGGAATGAATATTTTTCTTTAGAAAAAAGAACATGTTACTTACAACGATAGGTATGTTATCTTTACCCGAAATAAGTGGTTTTAACCGCAAAGCTAACATTTCACGTTTTTTTTTAGCCTGTGGAGTATCATTTGGCGGCAGCATAGTAATGATACCATTTGAAAACTGAATACTTGTAGCTCCTGGATAGTTATTTGGTCCATTCATTACTAACTGACGTAAATGAACTAAATTGAATTTTGTTACTGGTGTTGGGAATGTTAAACGGAATGCGAAAAATAACGGTACTCCAACCTAAATATTGATAAGGAAACAGTTAATTAGTTAATAAAATGTGTTAAAGGATCTCAATATATAATATGAAGTATATAATGAGTAGATAATTTACAAGCGTATACAGCTGAATATTATGGACATTGATAAACAAAATTAAAAATATCGTATATTCTTTTATTTCTATCTGTTTGACACTTGCAGCAAATTTGTACAAGGGAAATATTACTATACTACACTATTATACTATAGCTTATAGTGAGCAATAACCAATGATTAGCAAAAAGGCTTAAGGTACATAACATCATCTATTAGGCGCCATATTCAATGCAAACAAATTTATTAATACCGAGAGTGTACCTCTTGGATTCCAACTATTCCACCAAAATCAAATACGGATTATATTATTTAATTATAAAAAGACTTTCTGAGTAGAGAAGAATTATGCATTATTTTATTGCATAACACCAAATATTAAAAGTCGCGGAGTTGGAACTCATTCTTACCTACTCCGCTTGAGCTCTCAAATAAAACGTATGGTTCAAAACTGAGTACACAAACTTGCACTTTGTTACAAAGACGCATTACTTAAATCATTGTAAAATGTAGTTACATAAATCCCGAAAATAAAGTAAATACATACGATGTTTGTGGTATTAAAAGCTCTGTGAAGTAAAGCAGAGGTCCACTTACTGCGTAAATAACAACTAGGTCGGTAATAAGCATTGTAAAAAGTACAGACGTTTTGAATATGCAACAATATTGAAAATGAATGTGTCATGATTTCACCCAAATCAATTAAATAGTCATAAACAATGAGAAGCATGACTGGGATTCAACAAAAGGAGAGTGTAGAGGCATGAAATCGAATATCATATAGCATATCATTTATTTATTTAAACGCATAAACATTTATACAAGGAGGTACCAATTATGTATACTCCATGCGAATCATTCGATTTACGTGAGGGCGGAGATACTACTCGGGCGCCTAAACTGGAGCAGATGATTTTCTTGGGGGCCGCTCGCCCAGTATACTATTGACTGTAATTCCACTGCCTAAAAACCATTGTTTGATACCTCAAAAACCAAATCAAGTGAGATATATATATATATATATATATATACTTGTACATGTTTAGATGTGCTGATGGAAAAAGTAAAATACATATAAGCTACCTTGGATCACCCATATTCTTTAGAAAAAAGAGGAGTATTGAAGGAGATGGTCTGAAATATGAAAACTATACATATAAACCATAATAAACCAATGTTAATACAACTTGGTAGACTACCCCAGTTTAAATATTAGGCTTTGAGTTATACCTATGGTATGAAGGCTGGAAATACTGCCCAGTGAGTTGAACTGAAGTAGGTAGAGCGCAATTCGAACCTATCATCCAATAAATGAAAGTAAAGTGTTTAAATCACTAAGTCACAGAGTCAAAGAACTTGACCGTACTGGAGAATAAATCATTTCAATAAACGCTCACAGAAACATCAAAACTTCCCAAGGTCTCAATAAAGGTCAGTGTAAGTGAAACATAAGTGATACAAAGATAGGAATGATATTATGCATATCTCATATTTTGGTCAAGTGTGAACTACACAAAAATTGTTTCTGATAGGAAAATATGATAACTAGGAATGCTGAGTTACTTAATATAGGAATAATACTCTTAAAATTAGCTTTCGTGGATATTGAACAGCAAAATACTTCTGACTAGTGGGTGAAATGAAGTTAAGAGACAATTGTTTTAAAAACTTGCTGAATGTAAAGAAAAAAGACCATACTAACTGATAACTTTCTACAATATAGCATTCGTTGAAAACGTTCTAAAATATATTGAGACTGATAAAACACAAGAAATAAGGAAGGCTGTATAACGTAATAGTATTTGGAAATAATAGGAAGACTAACACTACCTCATATTATTAGTGAGTGGTTCGTAATTATATTTCAATAAAGAATTCGTGGTTCATACAAGATACCGGTAACTAAGGCTTAAATTAATGGTTCAAGAAATGAATTTAGATGAGATAAAAACTCACCTCAGTAACACTGAGATTCGGATCCGGACTAATAACAGAACGGCATGCGAAATTAACACGTTTTCCCATCATGTGCATACGGAAGAGACCTTCTTTCTTTCTAAACGTTGTCTTAGGCCGGGTAGTCGAACTGCGTTACTGCTGATTCCACTTCTGGACTCTAGTCCTAGAGGTGTGATTGCCATACTCATATCGTATATTCCATTAACAGCTGCTTGAAGAAGCACAGTTGCAAGTTTAAGTGCACCATCCGATTGTGCATCATCAATCAGATCACCATCACTAGTTGTGGACTTTGGTTCTGGAGGTTTATTTACATCAGCAGAATTGCTCACTTCATTGCGTTGACGGATAAACTCTACGATATTGTGTAAACATTGGGCTCGTTTTACAATACGGACATAAACAGCAGTTTCCGGATGCTCATAAACCAAATTCCCAACATGCCGTGGCTGAAATAAAAAATTAGTATACTTCGCTTCATCGAATCAAATCCAATACAAAGACAACAACCGAAATTCCATCTAATATTTAGGGTGATAAATCAGCTTCATTATTATCACACAGAGAAGTACCCATCGGCTTTCTAAAATTCGGCCTGTGACTATTGAAATTTAGGTTAAAGTGAGCACAAAGTATGCCACTACTAGAGTTTACAGGGATTTACCGATGTTATGGAACACGCAGATCCAATACTAGAACATGATTCTTGAATTTTCAGTATGGGGTAGTGAAGACTGTTGAATTTCATTGAAATCATGAAGCGATCTCATTTAGACCACCATTGAAAACCTGGAATCACTGGGCGGCCGTTTTGTTCGAGTATATGAGCGTGATCCACGATTCCGCACTTGCTAATCGAGCTCAAGACCTTGGATTTTGCACGCGAACACTTAACCTCTAGACCACTGAGTTAGTATCCAACAAAGTTATGATCTAAACTTAGGCAATCCACGACGTTGCGCGACCATCCTCTATAGTCTTTTTCAATGTTTGAACAAAACAATAAATTTATAATAAACCAGGAAGATTAGACCTTACACTATAATACTGTGTTCTAAGAAAGACATATATTGTGGTGGAAATTTGTAAATCAGGAAGTTGATTTTGATAATATTGGATTCCCCGAGTGAAATGATTTAATTATAAGGAATTCATTATGTTTCCGGACACCATTAGTACAAAGTTATACTTAAACAATAAAAGAAGATAGCCAGCTAATCAGGATTACTAGCTTCAACTACAAATCCCTTGGATGTTGTGTGTGCATATGTTAGTATTTTAGTGAATTAAACATCCTACGGATCCTTTTATAAAAGGGTGGTATAAATATAACTACTAAGGAATTAGTCGGTCTTCGGTTTTTGTAAGTTTTAGATGAGTTAAAGGGCAGAAAAGAAACAGTCCTGTTAACTAATATTTATGTATATACTTAGAAACAGGGTATGGACATTATACTACATTGAAGAGTCAACATTCAAGATAAACTTCTTACCCAACGACAAAGAGAAGGAGACAACAGAACATTATCCATAAAAAATACGTCGGTAGGAAATGTGTGGTTTAATCTTGCAGCTTTAAGCATAGGAAATAATAGTACTAAAAGATCCCCGTCATGGGCCCAGAGACACCTCAGCATTATACGGATCATCTCTTAAATAATAGAAAACGTCGAAATGTTACTAAGAACGTTTGGATTATGAATAAACAAAAAAATGATGCACATGAATATCAAATCTTACATACTGAAAGACACTTGCATCCATGGTAAAAAGAATCAACGCGTCTATAGAGCTCAGAGGGAATAACTCATGTAATTATATCATTAAGTGAAGAAAATCGAGAGAATTAGGACAATGAGTAAGAATACACGGTAACCTTAGAATCGTATTACAAGTAACAGTCAAATGACTTTCCATCGTTACGAATACATTAAATAAACGTATGTGAACTAGTTCATTCAAATCAACGGACACAGTCTTAAACAACGAACCTAGAATAAATATGTAATGGTTCAACTTGCTACACTGTAAATCAGTAGAACGGAAGAAAGCCAGTATCTGCTTTTAGTTATGTCACATAACCCGACCAGGAAGTTCGCATCCCACTATACGGTTCAAAATGAAGATCAATGGCTTTATATAACGTCATGCCTTAGTCCAAAAACCGGGAAAACAAACATTTAGGGGTTTTTACGATTAGATAAAATAAAGAGATTGGTGGTGATGAGGTATTACTCTTGAAGTAAAGACTGCATATGATAGTCCACTGTAAAATTTGGACTAACCATAGTGTTCGAGTAAGGAAGCTTCAGTAATAATGTTGATAATGTTACTAACAATAAGATGAATAAGATTGGTTCAGCGAAGAGTTCCCTTTTCGGCGAATTCATTTTCAAAGCTATAAAATCACAAATATATACTGAATCTTTTTTTAAAAATGAAAATAACTACAGTAGTTGTGATAAAAAAAGTTCTGCTAAACATGATAAGTCAGGTAGAATAACAAAGGGATTAAAGCGTTATTTTTATTAAGGAAACTAATGATAATCTTTTAAGAGCTTGAATATTCACTATGAAGATATATAGGGAAATTATAACTGGGAAGAGAAGACTCAACATGATAAAATGTTGAAGTTGGAATGAACTGTAATCAAGAGAATCATAGAAACAGAAATGGATGGGGGAAAAGTTCTATGTTCAAGACAAGGGGAAAGATGGCTGTGAAAAAGAAAGGTATGAAGAAAGAAAAGATACGAGAAACTAAGACCGTGGTAGAAGAGGTTGTATTAGTTTCTTATGGACACATAATTCTGGTTTATCCAGATGTATAGCTAGTGTTTCCGCAAGATCGGCAGGACAATCTTTCGGTCATATATGGAAAAATTCAAATGCCTCACTTCCGCTTGAGGTCTATCCTGATGATGTCGTTTAGAAGAACAACGGGAGCTTCACAATTAGACCAGCCAGCTCGGAGAACGAAACCACAGAAATAATAATTTACATTTTGAAAAGTTTTTACTGATTTCCTGACATACCAACTATCTGCAAAAGACTCCGTTTCTGTTGTTTAGAGACAATACAGTGTACAATGAAAAGCAAAAAATAGGCAATCTCTTATAGCTGTATCTCATTGTTAAGTTTTATAAATGTTGTCATATTAGATCTTTATAACTCGGCAATAATATTTTATGAAGTATTCATCTTGGTTCCTTGTATCTTACTGCTTTATTGTTTTAAATTTATAACACAATTATTTTAGAATTGATTTTTACATACCAGGCGGGAAACATATTTCTTTGGAGTGTTGTTGACTTTTTACTGCTTCAGACAGCATATTCCGAGCAGTGGATAAGTTTGCCGTGTAAATAGTTTCTGCTTTGCTAACTTCACTTCCATCAGACATATCGATGAACATAGATAACTTTTGTTCCATGCGTTGGTCATCTACTTGCAACCTTCAAGAAGGTCACTACAATCTTCTTCCAATTCCCTACAGAAAGAGATTATCCAATATTACATACATGGTGAGGATTTTAAAGCAATAATGACGTAAAGAGACTGTGAAAAGTCTCTTTGGCAACGAGAACATCTTAAACACTGCCATCCTAAAGTAAATCAATGCAAATTGATTACTAAATATTTCTACATTCAAAAGTGATGCGTAAATGTACATATTCAAGATCGAAGTAAATTAAAAAGACTTTTTTATCTTCTGAATGATACTAAACAGCTAATTACCCAAATATGTGCACACACAACTAAGTGTAACGAACTGTGTATATACTAAACAATATGAAAAACAAGAGACTACTGGGCCGATGAATTAACGGGCAAAGACGTACTAAAACAGTGAGCTCAGGGTAATAAACTACGGAATGAGATCTGTGCTCGGGAACCTGTTAGTGTTACGATAATGAGTATCCGACTCAAGGCCATCCTCTTGAAGTAAATTAACAGGTTTCGTTAACAACATTAATTATTTATCAATAATAAAAGATTCATCAACACGTCTTACATCTTCGGTACTAGTTATAAACCTAGTACGGCTGTTTGAACACAATTTAGAACTGAATGACCATTAGAACTAATGAATGAAAGTGACACTCCAATTTTGTTAGTACAAACAGCAATACTGTGATGACACGTAATTTTGTACATTTATGTAGTCATACCAACTGACCGCTTAGTAGTGAATGATTCTATATTATCTGGTCCGTAGTGTTAATAAAATTCTGCAGAACGGGTATCCAGTATGAGGCAAAACAGTGAAGTCTAATTACCTGGACGCTTAACCGAGATTGTATCTGTAACTGCATAGGCAACTACCCCCAGCCAACAACATGGAATTTGGTGACAGTAAGACAACTTTTCTGAAAATGACAGATGTAAACTAAACTGACTTAATGCTTCAGATATTCCAAACAAACTAGCTTATGACTGGATACTAATTATCTTGACGAAGTGGGTTTTTAGAAAACACAATTCCTTTAGCGCTACAGTGTATCAGACCCAATTAGTACACTGTTAGTCTATTTTGAGGTGAAAATGAGAGAAACACATCTTGTTTCCATTGTCTCTGTAGTATATGTTAGGGCAAGAGAATTTCAGAAAGAACGATGTTTTAACAAGAGTGGTCACCCGCCGATGAATATTTGAACCTGGATAGAGAGGGTGAGAACATACACCATTGTATAATCTGTAAAGCTTATTGGGTCGCGATCAGAAATTCCCTATTTTTATATGTACCATATTAAACCCCTACTATTTTATTTCTTACATTTTGGCGAATTTGAAAACTGTATTATAAGGAAACTAGTAACTAGATTCAGTTGGTTAATATTTTAGAGCGACTGATCAGTCAGGTTTTGATTAAAATAACAAAACGGGGAGAGACAGCGACTTATGGCTTGATAAAAAATATATCAGTTTGAGTTGCTCCAACTGACTTCAACGCAACAGAAGGAAGTTAATATAAATGGAAATCAGGGAACTCAATGTAACAATATCCACGCTAGTAGTGAACTGGACATAGAGAATACGACTCAGAAACGGATGAAACGGATTAGTAAAAATTTTAAGAAAACTGCACTAATTTAGCTTATTTTGAGCCATACTACTCTAGTTTTCTTTCAGATGACTATAATTAGAGCATATAACAGAGCCGAACCCAGATGTCAGTTATCGTAAGAATCAATTTACATATTTGAGAAAGCGCATTAGCCAAGATGTAATCATCGATTAAATCTCCCTAGGAATGAGTACCGCCAGTCCGTTGTCCGTCAATGTCTACTGCTTCTGGTACCCAAAACACACCTAAGAGACTCAAAAGGAAATATACATTTTACTCTCAGTAAATCCATACTTGTGACAACCTTTGCAAAGGAAGATGTGAAAATAATAAGCATTTAGTAGTAGGAATAATCGCAGTATTACTACTGTAGTTTAGAACGACAAGGTGAAGGACTGGTAGTGTTTTGAGTTCTAAGCTACAGTGATATTTGGGCCAACAGAATCGTGAATCTATACTGATTGATGGATGTTTTGTGTTTAGCATCTTTAATCACTACCTAACTCGTCGAGATGCTGTTTATGGTGGGGTTAGGTTTGGAGAAGCTACATGTAACAAGACCAAAGTGGTTCATAAGCTCAACAGTATTTGGTGTAAATCATCTGGATGAAATATTTATCAGGCAGAATCCTCGAAATGATAAGGATTAGATATAAAAGAACCTATATGGAACGGCTCTGAATCGATTGTAAAAGGGTCGGATGTACTGTACCTTTATGAGCTTGAACATTCTGGTATTTAACATGTACCCTCGTCTTTTGACTCAAATACTGTTTGTGAAGCGAAGTGTGTTTGCTTAAACTCATAGTTTTTTAGTGTTTAACGTCGATGCGCTCACATTGGGTCTAATAATCATCATTTTTAGTAACCTTAAAGATTACTAGACATTAGTAAGAAATGAAATCTATAACTTACTCTTTCATTCTTGCCTTTGAACGGTTACCGCCAGCAATAGATATTGGGTGGAGAACTAACTGTTGTTTACTAATGTGCCTTAGACCCCAAGACCCGCTACCGCACAACTTACAAGGGGCACGGGGCCTTGTAGCTAAGTTTCTAATCGCCAATTGGCGCAAATCATCGCCTGATAACCCTTCCAACTCTTTAATTTCAAGAGCTTTCATTTTCCCGGGAAGCTTACTGACTAAGAGCATTAATTTCATTATATGAGATACACTTACCTGGTGCTCCAAGTAGATACAAGGCTGAAGCAAGATACTCTGCACTGTATAAGCGAAAACACCCAAAGCAGAAAGACTTCACAATCTTGAAGAATTAAACATAAACAACGTGCACTTGCTTTGTACAATACATCAAACATGAAAGGGTTGAATACTGGTTTCGAAAACTCGATATGGCCACAATGACCCGGACAATCTGTAAAATCCATGCCGCAGTGTGCACAGGTCTCACTGTAGCCAATGACCCCTATGAAATATCAATGAGTAGTATGTTGATATTTTACCGAAATTTACGTCATGAAGCCCTCCATCTACCCCACGACCAGTAAATTTGTCGAAAGCCAGGTCATTTGTTACCTTGCGAACTGACAACCTTCTGATTTCATCAGGGCTGTAGAATCCATATCGAAGACCAGCTATTTGGCCCACGTTAGTACGATTCATTGCAAGGCGTGCGATGTGCTCAAATCTTGCGGTATTTAAATGACCTAGAGCTATTTCAGTTTGGGAAGGACAGGAGGCTAGGTAGTCTGTGTTAGTTCTAGTGATAGTGGTCTCTCAGTTGGTCCAAGTTTCTTTTTAGAGCGCTGACAGATAGAGCTTCAATCACGTGTTGGTGTAATGAGTTCCATTCGTTGGTGATTTGGTGTGAATATCGATGGTCAGCTGACACGTAATTTGTTCTGGGCTTGTGAACGTTTTTAGAGTGTCCTTTTAGATTTCCTGTTTAGAAAGACAAGGGCATACCAGATGAAAATTCGTCACTAAGAGTTTTTTTGAAAACTATGACCAAGTCGCCTGTAGTTCTTCGATATAGCAATGGAAATAGGTTTAGTTTGGCTGGTCCAGTATCATACGGGAGCTTTGCTGTTCCGAGAATCTGCTTGAACCGTTTCAACAGCTCACTGTCTCCCTTTAGACAGGGACTAGCCATTTGTTTGTAGTACTCATGTTTAGGACGAATGAATACTGTTCACTAAGTCAAAAAGGTTTTGGCATTGACATGGTCAGAGGCCCTACATATTGACAATATGGCTCTAGAACGTTTAGTAGCTATCTCACGGCAGTGTGCAATAGTCTCAAAGTCTTGGCTAGCAATGACTCCCAAGTCATTGTGTGTCTGTCCAACAGGTAGTTCACGGTTATTCCCCGTATATATATATATATATATATATATATACCTTAATGACCAATATGCATCACAATGAACTTGAAAGAATTCATTGGAAATTGTCAAATTTGAGACCATTCAAATGGTTCAAATAGTTGTGGACGAAATAGAAGGGGCTTCCGCTTAACGGCCTTCTGTGTCTAGTAGCAATGGATCGCCAATACCTCCATACAGGAACATAAGTATATTAACGATAAAAAGGGAAAAAGAAATTGGTGAATCATAGTAACATACTATCCTTAGTCCTTAAAAATATGTCAAGTTTCCTCTTGAAGGACTCCTGGGAGGTCGCTTGGACTAGCTCAGCCGGCAGAGAATTCCAGCATTTGATAACTCCTAAGGAGTAGAAGTTGTGTTCACAGTCCGTTCTGCAGTGCTATGTCTCCAGCTTCTGGGTGTTACCCCTTAGTCTTGTGTTGGAGCTAAACTCAAGTAGGTGTTTAAGGGGATGTCAAGGATGCTATAAGCCATTAGAAGGTCACCTCAAGACGCCTGTAGTTTAGTGGGCAAAGGTTTAGTGATTAGAGGCGCTCCTCATAAGGCTTGGATTTGAGTCCTCGAACTGATTTCGTGGCTCACCGTCGGATACGTTCCAGAGTGTCCTTATCCTTTTGGAGTGAGGGAGGAAATAGTTTGTTTCCGTACTCTAATTGGGGACAAATGAAACTATTGAAGATTATGTGGAAATTTCTTCTGTCAAACTAGCCGAAAATGCGCTTTAATGTCACCAGTGCAAGGTTTGTTCGAAAGGCATTTTTGTCACAGTTAGCGTAAGACTTTAAATAGTAGGATACCAGCACTCCTAAATATTTTTCAACTTGGGATACTTCTGGAGAGGAGTTTCTTAAGTCTAAACTGTAGTCTGCAATATATGTCAGATGGACTACTTTACACTTTGAAGTGTTAAAGATAAGTCCGTTAGTGATAATGATAATAATTTGTTCTCAAATAACAGTTTGTGACATGAGGCATGCTAGTCTACAGGTAAGACCAAATTGTTACAGAGATAATATTTCACTGTAGTACGTTATTCAGCTGGGTTGATATTTTATAAGATATGAATGTCGATGGTTTTAGTAAGAATCGTATTGTCAGTCTCACTGCTGGTGCGCTTTATGAAAGTTGCGTTGCAACGTGAAACTGATGATCGAGAATAGATCCATGTCAAGTTGGGGGCTTCTAGAAACCGCAACCTTATATCCCTCTGGAATATCAGAGGCTTTAATGATGGTGCAGAATGAAGTCACCCGTTTCATATGTTTTCGGTGGCATATCTCAAATGGGGTTGAAAAAAGGTGAAAGAAAGCCTGTTGTCATCTGCCCAATTTTGGAATCGATTCAGATCCTCCTGAAGTGCCAGTAAATCCTCTTGATTGCGTATCTCTCTTCAAAGTTCCACATCATCAACAAAAGTAATAAGTCAGACGATACCTGTTATGGAATATCGTTTATATAAATCAAGAGAAGAAGAGGTCCTAGTGCTGAACCCTGGGCGACCCCACTGAGACATTCCATAGCCTGATAGAAAGTGAAGTTCACCCTGACCTTAAAAGGTCGATTTTTTTAGACATAACGTGAGCCAATCAATTAGAAGTGATCCGGTACCCAGTCGTTTGAGCTTGCTGATAAGACTTATATGGTTGGCCCTATCGAAAGCTTCTGAAAGTTCAAAGTAAATGACATCAGCCTTCCCCTTGCGATCAAGGATGGTTGTCCATCTATCCACCGCAGTCAGCAGGTTGGCTATACAAGAATGACCCTTCCTGAAACCATGCTGTTGCAGTGAAAAGACGTTTGAGCATACCGTCTCATATCAGGGATTCCATCATTTTTGAAGGTATAGAGAGAAGAGCCACAAGTCGGTAGCTTGAAGGTTCGCTGCGTCGACCTCCTTTGAAAATTGGTGTGATGTGATCCAGCTTCCAAATTGTTGGTAGTGTGCCTCGGCTTAGTGAGTGTGAGAACATCATGCTAAGCGGTGTTGCCATGATTGAATCTGCTTCAATCAGTATAGCAGAATGAACCATATCCGGATCAGGAGTAGTGTCTTTTCTTAGGTGCTGCAGTTTCCGGTACATCAATTTAACGCTCAGGTTCACCTCGGAAAGTCTTGTACAGTTGCAGATCAAGCTTTCATCAGCATAACTAATATGGGGCGGTTGGAATGTCCGAGAGTACCTTTTAGCCAGAAGGTTATCAGCGTCACCGTCGTTACCGTTGGGGCCATTGGGATCTAGCATTTGGACAACTCCAGTTTTGGCCTGTCGAAGAGTGTCTGCATAACGGAATAAACTTTTCGGATTAGAGACAAACTTACCGACATGCTATATCTGGTACTGAAGCCTGTATTCTCTCATCGCCTTTGTGAATATGTTCCTCATACTTTCGCACTGCCTGTACGCGCCGTTCTTATCACATCGTTTGTATTCCGCTCCATGGTGTCTTTTGTGACTCAGCAAACGAAGAGTGTGGTTCTTGATGACTGTAGGTTGAGTGGAGATTTTTGGGGCCATTTGAGGAAAACTGTTTTGTAGCACATAAGATCGTGTGCAGCAAGAAATCCCAATGAGCATCCACATAAGGTTGAGTGTGAAATTCCCAATCCACCTGTTGTGGATTGTCCTGTAAAGCTGACACATCCAACCGTTTGAAAGTTGAGCGCTTGTCGTTGGTGAGATGTCTTAGCTCAGTCTTGTTGATAAAACTAAAAGCTATGATGGCATGGTCGTTTCTTTCTAAGGGAGCCAGAATTGAGAGGTTGTCAATTAGCAATTCTTCGTTTGTAAATACACAGCACAAGCGCAACGGCACCTGACTGTTCCTCCAACAGTTGAGATGATTTCTCTATGTCATTTTCGATCTCTAAACTATCACCTTCACTTTTTATCGCTATCCATATATTGACAACGTCAGCATGCAACAAAACAGATGGGCATAGGAGACTAAGAGTGTCATTTATATACAGAAGGAACAACATTGGCTCACAACTGTACTCTGAAGCTCAGCACCAAGCACAGTTTAACACTTAGATAACTTGGAGTTCACACGTACTCTTTGTTGACACCCGACTAGGAAGTCTTTTATGCACATTAACAAATTATCTCTAACCTCGATATGACTTAACTTCTTTCCGAATAATCTTTTCTGAAATTTTAACAACCACGCTGGTTAGCTTTACAGGTCGGTAGTTATCAGGCTAATGTCTCCTATCTGTTTTGGAAAAAGAACTAAAGCATCCCTGCAGTCTTTCGGTAATCAACACCCAGTTACAGATAGATTGAAACATATACTTAAGGGATTTGCGACAAAATTTGCTAGTTCTTTTAGCAACCTTGATTCATTTTATTGGATCCCATGAATTTGCCCATATCAAGCACATTTAGCAGACCAAAGATATCGATTTCCATCATGGTTACTGTGACCACTGTGTGTGTGGAAACTGGATGAACTGGAGGGAAGGATGTTTATACTGTATATACACTGCTAAGGTAATTTGAAAATACCTGAACGTTACCATAGTCGCCCTCCTCTAACGATGCAATACTACTGTAGTGACATTAAGCTCTAACCACACAATTCTCAGAGCTGAACACAAGACAACTGGGAAATAGATATTCAACACTTAACGCAGAAAAAAGCCCAACGATGTAGAAGGAGGGAAGAATGAATTCAATTGAATCCAATCGGGTGACATGTTTCAGCCTTGCAGGCATTGTCATTCTGTATGACATGTTTTCACTCATATTAAATATATTCTTCTATCTCCAGCCTGAATTTGTTCTCCATCATATATTGGTTATTGTTATGATACAATTAACCGGTGTAGACAATGATGTGACTTCCACGTAAGATCTTATGGATTAGGCAGTTACAACATGACAAATCTATAAAATTAGGATTAAGTCCATTATTATAGCAGTACTAATAACAAAGTAAACCACAATTCTACACTACTGTCTCCTGATAATGATGGAATGGCTCCTCTTCTCTTAGTCCATTGCTTTATGTTAGAATATAAGCGTAAAAGGCATTCTATAGATTCCTTAACAAGGTTTTCTTCGTACAACCTTCAAGGGTCGAGGCACGTGTATTTCGAGCTACTTGATATCAAGATGTTGTCTCGTCAGTATTCAATAACCTAAATTTCTTCCACATTCCTCGCCTCTTACGGGGAAGGGTGCAAACCTCCATCGAAACACGTTGTGGAGTTTCTTGAACCCCTCAGCGTAATCCAAGGGACGTGGGGTGCAGTGACTTTTAGGTATAAATTTCT